GTTTATCATCAACATGTTTCAGATTGAGGTAATTAAACCGAGGGTCACCATTTCCAGCCTCCATCTGTTCGTTTACAACAATACAAACAAGGAGTGGTTGCCATGGCTACTAAACTTTCTTACCTGCATGCTACCTTTAGCTGCATAAACGCCTCGAGCCGTCGTGTTTTATTAATATTCTGCTTCAAATGAAACTGATTTTCTTATTGGAGGTGTTTTTTAGAACCTGTTGAACCGGGTTTGAGAATTTATTCAGTCCATTTCTTTTATTCAGTCATTTTCTGAGCAATTGGATTCTTCAGGTTTATAAATCTGTAAATCATTTCAGCAAAAAAATAAAGAAAAAATTCTGAATTTTTTGTTTCCCAGAACACAAAAACTCTTTCATGGTTCGTGGCTGAAGCCTTTTCCAGTAAAACAGCTGTTTACTCTTTTGAAATAAAAATGAAAGAAAATACTGAAATAACAGCGGTCAAATATTTACATACTGCGGTGATTCCTGGAATCGTAGCATTTCAGAAATGTTCTGAATGGACATTTGTGGAATTGTTCAAAGCAGCGTTCAAACTTTCAGTGGAAAATGAGGGTAGAAACCAAACCACAGTGAGGTAAACCAACAAAAACTTCAGCAACAATTTCCTGGACAGAAAAATCCACAAATAACTTCAGCTGAAACAAAGGAATCTCTGGAAAAAACAAGAAAACAAAAAGTGGAGTGGGAGAAGAAAGTCATTACTATGCAAATCCCTCAAAGTGTCCCACTTCCAACATCTCTGGAACAAAATCATCTGGACAAATGAGACAAAATGTAACTTTGTGGACTCAAACAGTAAATCAACAAGGCTACAGATAACTTTTCAGCAAGAAATGGGAGTTTGTTTTAAGTCATTAATTCCTTAATATTGATGAAGAAGTACTGACTCTAAGTGAAATACTCTGCCGGTTCAACAAGACATTTTATGTTTCAGGAGTTAAAATGACTGACCTGTCCAGGGTGACCCCGCCTCTCAGAGGCACCGTCACCTCCTGACCCCACTGCAGACCAGGCTCCAGTTAGAAAATGGATGGAACTTAAATCCACTTGTTCAATAATATGATATTATAATATTATGACTATATTTTTGGACTGAAACATAAGTTCTCTTAGTCTGGCACTGATACTGAGACGCAGAACTCACAGAAGGGAAGATTGAAATCAGTTACTTTTATAAAATGTATTTGTTTTAGAAAAGAAAAACAATTTAAATCTGAAATTAAATCTGTTGTGAAAAAATCTGATTTTATTAGTAAGTTTTTTGTCTGGTGAGTCCTGCCTACTTAATATTGATTTATCACTAAATATGTGGATCAAACATGTTTCTTGCAGGGTCAGGAGTATTTGACTAAACTGCAGATGAAAGCAGACATCAGCTCAGGCTCTCAGTGTTCAGCTGCCATGTGACTCAACCTGGTTTTCTTGTGTTTCTGCAGGTTTTCTCATTGCTGATTGTTGGAATCGGGGTTTATGCCAAAGTCCAGAAAGCTACAGGTACATTAAAGAAAACCACAGATTAAAATACATAAAACAGCATTAAAACTAAAATCCATTGTAATCATGTTTAAAGGCCTGAGTGGATTGTGTTTATATCCCAGTAGAAATAGAACAGAGATCTTGTTTGCAGTCTGGTGTGGAACATGGGGGGAGTTACCTTTCAGCTTCATCCTCCCAATTCTCACATTTAATTTAGGATGTATATAATTCATGGACAACAGAAAAGGATTAACCTGTGGCTAATCCCTGCGATCAAACCTCTGCATCTGCACAATCCTTCAGTTTCAAATCATCATTGATGGTTTCATAGCGTTGGGACAGTCAGTGCAGGAAGGCACGCAGCAAAAATAGGAAACTGTGTTCTGCAAACAATGAAGTTGACATGACATTAGAAACAGGAAGTCTAGAGGATGGCAGCTTTTTAAAGGCAGGCTGTGTTCCTGTCTCTGCCAGACACGGTGCGGGACACGTTCCTCATCGACCCAGCTGTCATCCTAATTGTGGTGGGGGTGGTGATGTTCTTCATCACTTTCTGCGGCTGCATCGGCGCCCTGAGAGAGAACATTCGCCTCCTCAAGACGGTATTCTCCAAAAAGACGCATCACTGATACTGGCCTCATGTTTTCCTTTCAGTTGCTAAATTGGCTCTAAACCTGGAATCATGTTTCATATCAAACTCTTGACAGGAAACGTGTCACTTGAGATGAAATATTTGGTTTTATTTTTTATTTCTCCTCCAGTTTTCCTTCACGCTGACGCTGGTCTTCCTCATCCAGCTGGTAATAGCAGTTCTGGGCTTCTTCCACTCTGATCAGGTACGAACCGTTCTGGAGACACTTTCTCTTTTTCCCAATGGCCTCAGGCCCTCAAAGCTGCTGTATGGAACTTTTATTTAATAAAATACATATATATATATTTTTGACATATTTGTTAAGAGGGTTCCCATGTTGTCACAGTATAATATGAGACAACTTTGTGTACTTTCTCCTAAACATGCTAATGGTGGAAAAACAACTCTCTGTTCCAGGAAAACTGTTTCATCCAGCATCATTAATGGTCATGCTAACTAGCTTTAGCATTTCTGCCTGAGAGCTGGAGGGGGAAGGGGCAGGTCATGAGCAAAGGGTGTGCAAGCATGATTGACAGCACTAAGGTTACGTTCACACTGTAGCCTAAAGTGGCCCAAATCTAGATTTTTTTTTATTTGTATTTATTTTATTTTTTTGCCTTAATGCAACCTGTATCAGTAACCTGACAGTCTGATCAACACAGAATCGATTCTTTTCCAACTCGAATATGTTCCTACATCCGATGTCTGATCTTTTTAAATGTGACCAGAGTCTGAACGTCATTAATACTCGACCAACGTCAATATTCTGGGTCCCGATTCCCCAAGCAGGAAGAAAAACAACAAGTTGCTCAGGTTCTGGCTCTGAATGGCCAACAACTTGGTGAAATTCTCCACCATTATAGCCATGTTTACTTCTGCCAACACCGGACTCTTCTTCTTCTTCTTCTTCTTCTTCTGCTTCTTCTTCTAGATGGTGGTTGGCAAAACGCTGATCATGCTCTCCATGATAACCTTATTGCTTCCTCTATTGTGCATGTGGGGCATCGTTCACACTGGAGATCACATAAAGCTTGTATTTATGTGGTGTGAACGACCACAATTAAAAAAAATCTGATTTCATAAAACATCAGATGAGGGTCACATCGGGCAGCAGGGTCAGCGCAGCCTCAGACCCTCTGCTCCTCGCTCTGATTGGTTGGCTGGAGTTAGCAGAGGAGCTTTGTTTTTTTTTTTCTTTCCAAAGATTATCTTTGGACATACTTATGCAAGTTGGGTACTGCAGTTTTAACAGATGCATCATTCATGATTAACTTAGGAGTGTCCTTGATTTTGGTTTTTGAGGAACCAGATTATTGCAGGAATGGATTTTTTTATTTGTCCTCTTTTCCACTGTTTATTTCCTTCATGGAGAAATAAGTGATAGGTTCGTTGCTAAAGGTTTCTGGGTATTTGTTCCTCATTTTGACTTTTGCCTCATAAGCTACAGATCTATGCATCTCTCAGGTTTATTCTGGAACCGTGCTTCGTCCTAATAGCGGCTCTCGCTTCACTTATCCTCTTCAGTAGCTTCTCCATTAAAGGTCCACTGGGAATAAAAGTACGACAGCCAGCAGGGGCGCCGCTGCCGCACATCAGCGCACGGTGGTGATGTTCCTGGTGTTTGATGGCGCCTCTCTGCAGTCAGCGCTCGGACTGCCTGCTGCTAAACAGAGCAGTTTAACAACCCTCCCAGCATCCTTCCTTGCTAAATGATTCAGATGCTTCGGCACTTCAAAGTGGAACCAAATGTTCCATTTCAGCAGATCCCTTAAAGGAGACTTTCTCGCTAATGACACAGTGCGACGGTGGGCTTCAAAGCCCAGGGGCCACGCTGAAACAGGAGCGGAAGGAGGCGAAGAGTTGAGGAGGGTTTTGAAAATCCTCCCACCATTCAGTAAAATTACTGGAGGATAACAGTATTTATCAACATAAACTGTTTCGACACAGTTTGTAATTTGAACAGTTTATGACGCCGTGAGCAAACAGATCTGAGGTTCATTTCCAGCTTCATGAAACTTTAAAGTTCAGCAGGTTTTTAGCTTTCAGAGCCCCAGTTAGCATTTATTATATCTGAGGAGTTCTGTGATGCTAACTATAACGTAATCAGTATGTTAAATGATACTGACGCATGTCTTTAATATGCAGCAATTCTGTGCTGCATATTAAAAATAAACCTTTAATTTTCAGTATAATAATCAGCCATTAGCACCATGAAGCAGATTGTTCAATCGGATGCATTTATTTGACACTTATTCACTTTCTGAGGAACTGATAAACATTACATTATAATAACTAATGTGGAAGTTTAGCCTGCAGATGAATCTTTGTATCCCGGGACTCACATTCAGTCTTCATCGCTTCCACCGACGTCAGGCCTGAAGAATTGCTTTGCTGCATTTGTGCTGGTTTTTGTAGATGCATCTGATCTAGAATGAACCCACTCTTTCTGCATGATACCACAGTTATTCACATCCACTGACCTTTTCCAGATTTTATCACGCTACAAAAAACCTAAATTACTTTATTAAGTTTGACCAACAAAAAGTGAATATAAATGTGAAGAAGCAAAATGCTGCAGTATTTTCAACTTTTGTTTTATGAATAAAAATCTGAAATTTGTGGTCATTTGAGTTAAGCTCCTTTTACAATGTGATTGTGGAGGAAATGAGTGAATATTTTCTCATGTTAATTACTGGTTTAGATTACAGCTAGAATATAAATTCATGTTGCTTTTTTTTTCTTCAAAGGCAAATAATTTGAAAAATCTGAGTGAAAATCTAAAATGAACAGAAATCCTTCAGGTTTTCAGTCGTCTTTGTTGATCTGTACATTTGCAGCGCGTGTTTTCAGGAGGCCCTTCAGATGTGAATATTATGCTTCATTGTTGCCTTTATGCAAATCTAAATAACTGTTGATGAAAGCCCTAGATCGTCATGGAAACCGGTGAATTACCCAGGAGTACCTGGCTGACGGCGAAGTGGTGGCAGCGCCGACAGTCTGAACTGATTCCAGTTATTATCCATCACCGGCTCTGCTGGGATCTCCCAGCATCTGCAGCAAGACGTTTTCCAGTGTGCCATTAAAAGCTCCTCCACTAATTAACACAGGCTGGAGTCTTATCAAGACTTCATTTGTTTTAAAAGACGGAAATTAGAATATCAAAGCTATCTTTTTTTGAATCTTTTTTTTCTCTCTCTCATAGACCCGAGATGCTCTGGGGAAGTTTGTGAAGAAAGCGATCGTTCACTACAGGGATGACCTGGATCTGCAGAATCTGATGGATTACATCCAGAAAGAGGTGCTGTGGTTTGACACAGACACACCTGACTGCACCACACTGCCAGCTCTGTTTGTGTTTATGTTGGCCTCACTCAGGATTTTCCACATGAGAAGCTAAACATGCATTTCCTGCAGCTCCATGGGATTCCTCAGGAGAAATTCCTGCTCCATCTGCACATCCTGGCTCCAACTAGGAGCCCGGGTTTTCCCCTCGTAGACGGCCGGCACGACACCAGACTGTTTCTAAATATACACCTCTGCTCTGCTTGGCTCAGTTTAAGTGCTGTGGATGGAACAACTACACCGACTGGTCCTGGAACCTCTACTTCAACTGCACTCAGGAAAACCCCAGCTCAGAGCGCTGCGCCGTGCCGTTCTCCTGCTGCACGCCGGTTCCTGGAGAGGTGGGCTCACACAATGCAGCGCAAACAATTAACTACAAAACTGTAACAGAGTGGGATATTGGCTCAGGGTACATAAATATCAGTTATTGATCATTATTTAGTGTCTGGTGCAGACAGGACTGTGTGAAATATCCCAGATTTCCTTCAGGTCTCTGCTCAGTCATATGTAATATTTAGATATTTCTGAATATGGTAATCTTCACCTTCATGTAGCTAAAACTAAGAGGATTAGCCGGGTTTATAACTGCAGCTTAAAGTTCAAAGTGTCATGCTGGATTACAGTTCATGTCTATTCCAGGTCATTTCTGATCAACTGATCACTTTTCAAAAGCATCAAACTTTATCCGTGCAACATGCCGTACAGTCAGTGGAAAACCGTCACAGCTTCTTGACCGCAGCATTGATTTATATTGACTCCAAATATTTCCGCTTGTTTGTGGGAACAGCCTGAAGGCAGCAACTCACACCAGAGGGAAAGTGATGAGGCTGAACCAGCCGTCCTCATGATGAATCACCCGATTTGATCCAGGACAGAAAAAGTGAAATGAAATGTCTTCATAACTCTGATCATCCAAAAATCTTCAAAGAATTAATGTGGCTGGTGATGCTGTGGGCCAGAAGGATCTCCTGTAGCAGTCAGTCTTGCAACAAATTTGAAAAGGCCTCTGACTGAGGACATTGTTGCTGTATGACAGCTGGATATCTGTCCATAACGTGTCCCAGTTGTTGCTTGCTCTGCTGATCTGCCTCCTTTGCTTTTGTCGCTCCTCTTATTCTTCAGTAAACCCAGTCTATTAAAGAATGTAAATAATTATGGATTCCCCTCCAGAGACGCTAACTCTTGAAAAAAAAAAAAAGCTTCTTTTTTTCTCAAATTGTTCAAAAACAACATGTCAGCTGCTAAAAACAAAGATGTTATTTGTTGTGCTGTGTTTGCTGAGGAAATTTGGGACAGGCTCACGTTTACCACCCAGTTGCATCAGCTCTTCTTTGAAGAACTGCGAGATGTTTTCCCAGAGTCGGCTGACAGCTCAGCCTATCTGTGGCTCCTTTGGAAAACTGTCCAGTTAACAATTGGAATACAAACTGTGTGAAAAACCGTCTTTAACTGTTAAAGTGATGCTGGTTGGCTGACATGGACACATGCAACATCTGCTCATATCTTATCTGATCTGCAGGAAGTGAAAACATCACAGGCTGTGATTTCTCTGAGTTCTAATGAGATTTCATGTTCTGAGCATCAAAGCAAGCTGTCCACACATGCATGTGTAAGAGGTGTGTGTGTGGATGGTACATACCAGCCTTTATAGTTCCTGCTTCTGTGCATGAATGCTCAACATCGTCCCTATTATTATGCAGTTGCAGCGGCACATTATGAAGGTACGACTGAGGGAAGCTAAGGAGTTCATGTTGAGCCATCAGGCCAGTATTGATTAAACATCAAGCCGCACAGAAAACGGATCACAGCAACCTTCTCCAACATGGTTGAAAAATCAATTAATTAAAGGGCAGAAGAGTCGATGCAGTGCTGCGACCTGCTGGTGGCTCACTGCAAGTTCAGGCTGCAGATGCTGCAAAGCTTCCAGTCGCTGCTTCAGCCTCACCTGCTCCCTTCATGTTTGTTTTTTTACTCATCAGCCTTCAGGTGTCACAATGATCACCTGAAGGCTGAACGTTTCCAGAGAACAGTCCAGTTTAATCATGATGCTCTGGTGAAGGTCTCTTTCTGTTCTGCAGACGGTGATCAACACCATGTGTGGTTTTGGCGTTCAGATGCAGAAGTCCCAGGAAGTAGACGTGTCTATCTACTCTGTGGGCTGTGCAGACAGAGCAGTGATGTGGATGGAGTCTCACCTGCTGCTGGTGGGAGCGCTCACCCTGGGCCTGGCCTTACCTCAGGTAACCTGCAGCTTCACTCACCTCACAATCAGAAACAAAAGAAGCTCTTTGGTTTTAAATCAGCCACACCGGGTCAATGAACGCATCAATGCGTCTGGCTGGGAGGAGCAGCCAGTCATCAACCTATTGAGCAGACCTTCCACCTCACAGGCTGGATGCTGCGTTCAGGTAGTTTCAGCAACACTTCATCAATCTGAAGAAACAGACTTTTACTTTCTGAGGATTTTCTAACATCTACTGATTCAGGGGGAAATTTCTGCACTATAAGGGAAAAATAATCAAATTTAATTGAAAAAACCAGAGGAAATGAATTATTTAAACCAGATTTGCACCAAGAAATAAATTAACTACAGTGTGATTTAGTGCAGGATTAGCTCTATGTGAAGCAGTAACACTGAAAAGGAAAATGCTGAAACTCCCTCCCACTCATGAAGGGCCCACAGCACGCTCCACTCCCACAGCAATTAGTCCCTTAATATCTAAAGTCAGATTAACATGTCGGCTGTTATCAGCTGCACATGAGATCAAACCATGCTGACATGCATCTGACTGCATTTCCCATAAATTCCATCGGACCAATCACATCAGAGCTGTGATTCCTCTGATGTTTGGGGAAAAACACTGTTTGGTCACTTTAATAACCTGATGTCAGGTTTCCACCCTGAAACATCTTGATTAATGTAAATACCAAAAGTATCCAAACTCCTTAACATTTTTAAACTGATTTGTCAAGAAAATGGAAAAAAAAATCATATTTGCAGGTATTAAGGGCAAGAAATTATGAGAATAAAGTCATAATTTATAAATAAAGTAAGACTTAAAAACACAATATCACCAGAAGAAACTCAAAAGTACAAGAAAAGTCGATTTGAATGCAAAGCTTCAGGTGTCAGAAGATCAGCTTGGTGATTCATTTCAAAATCCTGTCACTGATAATTACTGATTAGAATAATTATGCCCTATTTATAAAATACATATTAGAGAGTAACATTACAAGATGCTCAAAATAGCTTTTGTTTTTTATGTTGGGCCAATAGAACCGGTAAATTATTCAGGTACTAAGTTTATCTTGGCATTAGTTCATTTTTCTGGTATGATGATGCTGCTCGTTCTTCAAACTTCTGAGGCATAAAAGGCTGAATGCAAAAGTTTTTAACGTGAAAAAGATTAAGATGTAAATGAGTTTATTTTCCTGACTCTGCCAAACTGAGAGCAGCAGCATCGTTTCCAACGGGACCTTGAGACGCTCATTACTGCCGTGTTCTGATGTTTTCTAGATTGCCGGCATTGTTCTGTCCCAGATCCTGATTTCTCAGATCCAAAATGAGATTGCGTTGCCGTTTTGAGGGCAGAAGGAAGAAGTTCTGGTGCTGAACTCGTCCCATCAGAGTCAACACATCTTCATTTCTTATCCTTTGGCAAAACTGCTTTCATGCACTTTACTGTGACACAGATGCATAGTGCAAAGTGTTTATTTATTGGTTCTCTCTTTACTAATAGAAATGTGCATTTAAAATGTTATACATTTACAAATAAATGTGCATAATAATTTGAATTGTATAATATGACATTTTTCAAACAATTTCATATTCAATGAGGAACGTCAAGGGGCATTAATCTGGTTAACGGTGTGGAGCTCCTTCCTGTGGGTTTGATGTTTTCACGTGGGACTCGTCCGCACGCTGCAATCCCTCTAGTCGTGAAGAGCCAGCGCTTTCTGCATGAGGCGCTGGGTCAGAGGGGAGTTGGGCCGCACGGCGTCACGCTCCACCAGCAGACATCTGGGGAAACACAGCAGAGCAGAGACTAACAGATTCAGCCAGACTTCAAGCTGGGAGAACAACTCCATCAATAATTAAGGTGCAACATGGTGTCAGATATAGAAAGGGAGAAAAATAGCTGGTGTTGTGCACACAGGGGAGACAGGAGGTGGTGGACAGTGAAGAGCAGAACCAATTATGTTCAGTTACTTAAGGTCAGAGCCAAAACATCCTCACAATCCCTCCAGCTGACCGTGGAAATGCCTCCAAAATGGTCAAACATTCGGTTTGCATTAAACTAACTCCTGCCTGCTAACAAGCTAATTTAGGTTTTGACAGATTTTTTTCCCTCATTACAAAGCATTTATTTATGAAAACAAATATTTATAAAGTATCATGAAATCTGTCATTTTTATTTTAAAAGATAAAAACAATTCTGAAGTGACTGATTATATTTTCCTGCAGTAACAGTGAACCAGATCTGGCCGCATGTTAATATAAATTACATTTAATGCCAAAAGGATTATTGGAAAAAACCTGAAAGATGTGAAATGATTAGTTCAGGTCCAACAAAGATCCACTGAAAAGATCTGGGTCCAGAAAAGCCCAAATGGTCGGTTAGGCTGTTATTGATGCATCTCTTTAAATGAAAGAAGATCATTATTTAAAACAACCATAATTCATAAAACTTGCATCATTCCAACCACTTTTTGTTAATCAGACAAATGAACCAGATGATCCACTGAACCCAACTGTTCATTGGTTGACACTGAAATTAATATAAAGAAAAATGTTGAAACATTTTTTTTTCTTTTCTCAGACGAGTTTTTGCGGCACTAGTGGCTCGTATTTTTGACAGTCGGCAGACAGGAAAGAAGGCGAGGAAAAGGAGGCAAAGGTCACTGGGACCGGGAGTTGAACCAGCGACATCCGCGTGGAGGACCAAGGCCTCCAAACGTGGGGCGTGCTAACGCCCTGCGCCGCCACAGCAGCACCGAAACGTTTCTAGTGTAAAAGAAACGCAGTGCAAAGTTCTGGAGAAAGCAGATCCTGAACCAACTCCTCGCATATAAGATCTATTAGTGTGGCAGTTTTTCTCCAGGCTGATTTGTAGCACTAATTACATCCAGAATCTTAGTTTTAGGATTACATGTGATGCCAACATCTGTCCTGAGTGACACACTAATTACAGGTGTGCATTCAGAGCTTATCCTTGAATTAGCAACATTCATTAACCGTCTGAACATAATTATATCCTGGCTGCATTAAGGAATATGACTACTCCATATTCATAACCTTTGAATGTTCCCACATTTTATACTACAAACTCAAATGTATTTTTTTGGGAGTTTATGCCCAGTTGACACAGAACAGAACATTTACAACTGAAAATACTCAAATTATCAGAGTCACAAAAGGGCTTGAATTTCTTTCCACTTAGCAGATCAACACAAAGTGCCAGAAAAATGTGACGAAAACTCCTGATAAAGGAGCTCTGGCATGAAAACATTTGCAATGCTCTGTAAGCTGGTCGAGGTTTCTTTGTGAATTGTGAACAAGCAAGTAAAAGCAGAAGAGAAACATGTAATAAGTGGCCAGTTGAACATTACCGGCCCAGTTTGTGATGTTGTTTGTTGTCAGACTTCATGGCGGCGTGAATGAGCAGCTGGTTGAACAGATCTCTCTGGAAGAAGCAGTGGAAAAAGCCATTAGTGAATGCAAACCTCTGGCTCCACCACAGCAGAGCTTCTGCTCCGCAAACATCGTTCACTGCAGAGAACTCGTCTGAACATGGAAGATAAAATGCATCAGTGTCCATCACAAAGATTTATTATTCATATGATGGTGCACTGCGCTCTGCATCCTCACATCACATGAAGCACAGCAGGCTTTACTTCTGGAAAAATTATACAGCAGATTTCAGTGTTTTCCTTAAGAAAACAACATGATCATAGAGGGGGAAAACCCTCTGGGTGAGAAGTTAAGAGTGGAGCGTTTGCTTTGTTTTTAGACTTTTCACTGTTAAACTGATCCTGTCTGTTACCTGAGCATCGCTGCCACCGATGTCCACCATGCGGTAACGCAAAGGGTGCAACAGCGCCACCGCTTGGCTGAAGTTGCCCTGCTTGTACTCCATCATAGCTTCACACATCGGTATGCCTAAGCTCTTTGCCAGCTGATGCTGCTGATTGTCTCCCGGTTCCCTGTGAAGGGAAATAGTTTAGACACAGGAAGTGTAGGAACTGGAGAAAAAAACTTTTTACATTTGCAGACTCCAAAGAATATTCATTATCTGTCTCTAAAAGGAGAAGCACTCCACACCGCAGCAATGCGATACGTCACAAGCAACAAACCAGGAACGGGGCTTAAGACATGAGAAAAGCTGGAAAGTGACTGATGAACTGAATACACTGCTGTAAAAAATATTCACCTCCATAAAGGCTTCTTTCTGTTTTTGACTTTTCTTTTGGTCTCACTAAAAAGTTTGAGATCAAATACATTTTTGATACCAAAGAAAAAAAATAACCTGAGAAAAATACTGTTTTTTGTTCAGCTTGTTTAAAGACAGTCGACTTCATCACTCTCATATCTGAAAAAAGAAATCATTTAAACCTGACTGACAGCAGGAAGTAGGCCAAAAGATCTGAAAGCAGCACATCTTAACCAGATCTAAATAAACCAGATCATTATTTAGATCTGTTTGCTCACTCAGTCAGCAAACATGGAACAGTCTCAGCTAGGGTCAGAGGTCATGTTCCGATAACAAGAGCGAGAGACTGGAGCCTTCACATACAGAGACTACCATGCAGCGAGTCAACCTTTACTGCATAATTAAAATAGAAAAATATTTCAGTAGTACATTAATCTGACAATTTAATCAATTTAATTTAGCCCTAATAACTTTCCTTCTTCTCCATCTCTTCATTTTCGCTCTAATTTCTGTTAGTAAAAGATTATCAGAGCAACAAGAAACAGTTTGATAACCTGAAACATTCAGATGTGACAAAAAGAGCAAACAGGAGATTTGGAGAGTGGATCCTGTTTCAGTTCACTGGATTACAGTTCAAGACAGTTTGCTAAATTAAAACTGTAACAACTTTAGGAAACAAAGAATAATCGTTTTCTATAACATAGGGCTGTTGTACGTGAACAGCATCTGTTGCAGACGGAAGCCCCGCCCCTTCCTCCAGCCAATGAAGCTGCTCAGTTTTCCTCCACTCTGCCGCGTTTGTTTCTGTTACATAAAAGTCGTGTTGCTCCAATGCAACACGGCAGCCTGGAGGTGTGCAGTGAAGAGAACTGGGACAGAACTAACCTGGCCAGTTCCTGGAGGCCCTCCAGGAGGCGCCGAGCGGCCCTGTCCTCGTCGGCCCCCAGGGCCACCATGAGGAAGTGGAGGTCGTTAAACAGCGTGACGTGGTCGTCGCTGTGAGGCTGCGTCACCTGCAGCAGCTCCCGCCAGCACTCCTTCACACACACACCTGCAACAGGAAGACTTTTCTGACCCCATCCCACCACGCATGCTCCAACCGACACGGACAGATCTCCTCATTTCTGCTGCTGCACTTCAAACGTTGACAAAAATAAAAAACTGAGATCATCTCACCTCATTAAGTCTTTTTGCTTTCTGACCAAAGTCTTATTTGTGTTAAATTAGCTGGTCGTTAGCAACATATTCCAAAAATAAATGAATTTCTGCAAAATGATTTAAATTAGAAAACAGTCAACAATACAAACATTAATTCCCATCTTCTGGCGATTCCTTCATTTAACACCGACCTTCCATCTCCAGTCTGTAGAGCATCGAACAGGCGTCGACGACGTCAAGCATGGCGCCTGAGGCTTTACAACGCTTGAATATCTTTAAATGAAATACAAATATTCATATAAAGACGCTGAAGGACAGAAAATAATACAGCCAAAGGGAAAAATTCCTTCCAGAAACTACATTAAATATTTGGTTTTCATTAGGAATGTTCCCAAATAAACAGAAAACCGATAAACATAAATGTTTTTTTATGAGGAAATGCACGGCTTTTAGCTGAAATAACTAATGTTTCAAGCTTCCTAATAATATCCAGATCTGGGCTTTGACTAGACCAGTACGTCTCCTGCCATGTTTCATTTTCATTCAGATGGCAGAATCCTGGTGGATTCAGTGACGGTGGGCTGCACTGGTCCTGCTGCAGCTAAACATCCCCAAACCATGACACTGCCTCCACCATGCTGATAAGGTTACTATGAGCTTCCTGTTTTATTTAGGCCAAAAGTTTCCTCTGTTCTGGAGTTTGAAATATCTGTTCAGACGTCGTAACTCCAGATGTTCTGGTCTTTCTCTAGGATCTCTCTGCTAAACTTTAGGCTGACCTTCATGTTTCAGTTACAGAGCAAAGTTTTTCTCCACCTGTGTGGAACGTTTGGCTTTTAGGAAGGATTAAACAATTTTATCCTCATTTTTATACAAAATACAATGTCATTTTTAATATATGTTGACCTGAAATAGCCACATGTTTAAATATATTAATAAAAAAACTTTTCCACATCTGTATAAATATTAGTTTGTGATGCAGCAGAGCAGAATCTGCTGCGTTACAAAATGTTTTTCCCAGGATTCAGAAAATAACCGACGTTCGTCTCATCCTGACTAAATCAGAGCTGGCAGCCGACGCTGTGTGGGGGTGGTTCTTTGGCTCTTACTTCTTAAATTTGGATTCAACATTTATCTGCAATTAGCTCTCGACTCACAAGAGGACCACGCCTTTCTTTACATCTGCTTGCCTGCTGTTTAATGCTCTGTGACTCAGAAAGCTGCAGACGTGACTCCAGCCCGTTTCATTCAGCATCACTAGCATCCTGCCGTAGTTCTGACTGGATGTTTGAAGCCTCACTTTGTCCCATTTACTTTTCTTCAGGCAAAATGGGCCAAAACAATAGATTTAACTGAAAACTGAAAAATGACCAGAATGCGTTTTGAAAAAGGAACCAATTATCATTTATTTCTGTCATATTCCATAACTGCAACCTACCTGGAGAACTGAAAGGTACACGATGTTCAGAGACACGGCTGAGGTCAGGAGGGCTGATAACAGCTCCCAAAAACCCAGGAATGGTTTTTTCTTACATATTTTCTTAACAACAATGTTCATACTAAAGGCTAATAAGCAAAATTCCTGAAGCCTCCATGTGATGTTTGAACTGATTTGCCTGAGACCAAACAACTAATAAACACAGATAAAAATGAACAGATTTGATTCTAAAGAGAAGTTTCCGAAAATCACTAAGATCTCCACAAAATACTGTTTCCTAATAATACTTCTAAACTATGACTAATAACGTGCAGTTGGTTTGATGCATGTGTGATTTTACAAAAAGTGGGTCATTGTTACGTTTTTATTTGCATATTAAGACGCATAGCTGCGCCAATCATTCAGAGGAAATATTTTATTGTACTGGGTTGACGTTTCACAGTTATTGAAAACGACGTCGATGAATGTTGGAGGAGTATAACATCATCCATGATGTGAGAAAACAGCCTCATCTTTGAATTTAATAAAAAATATATTGGCTGTAATTAAAATGTGGGTCAGAACCACGAAACCAATCCTATATTCTGGGATAGGAATATCCCAGAATATCCTTAAAATTCTCAAATTAATATTAAACGGTGAGTGTTTTCCAGGCACAATCAACTAACGATGACAGATTCAGTTATGAAAATTCTACATGTATCAAACTTAACTGGAAAGAAACTTGACTTTGCACTGGAAGCTTTAGAATTGGTCTCTGTCTCTTTAAGAGACACACAATGCATTGCATTGTCACAACAATGACATTTCAAAGAAACAATCCAGGGATGCTTCTGATGAGGGAATAACATCATAACATGATATGAAGCTCCAACAGTAGATTTTTCATAACTTCAACCCGGACTTGAACTGGCAACTCAAACCCACCTGGGAGTGGTAGATCTGCAGAGCAGCCTCATATTCCCCCTGCAGAGGAAGAAGCAACAAAAAAAGTCACTACAAACTGGAAGCTAAAGCTAATCTAATCTAACATTTTCATTATATAAAGCCATGATTATCCTCACCCTCTCGATGAAGCATAAAGCCCAGTGCCAATAGTTGTGGCTGGCCAGCATGTCAGACCCCTAGAATTAATAAAGCAGTTTTTTCAAATGCATTTTCTAAATATTTAATCCTTAAGCTCTGAATTTTCCACAAGGTTCCAGGTGGTGATGGAAAAAAAAAACACCACCTGCCAATCTTTCTCTCTGCTATCCATGAAATTCAAGACTTTGTCCACCTCTGCCTTCATCTCATAGACGTGGGCCACGGAGTGGACGGACCACGCATCATCAGGGGTCAAGGCGAGACCCTGGAACAAGACAGATGAATTCACATTTAAAAAGTAACTGCAATCCTCACTTTAAATAACTTAATTTGAAATTTCTCCACTGCTTCCTCCTGGAGACTCTCATGTCACAGCTGGTTTAAATGCATGAGGCTCTCAGTGTGGAGGGTGGACTTGCTGGCGGACTTGCTGGCGGACTGACAGTCAGTCAAAGCAGATGACCTCAAACACACAGCTGCTGTGTTGTCAACAAGGCGCACAAAAGAAACCCATTACCAGCAGAGACGCTCACCTCCATGGCCACTTTCAAAGCCTGGTCGTAGAATCGAGTCTCCAGGAGGCCGAAGGCGTATTGTCCTTTCAGGTAACTGAAGGCAAACAAACTTTTAGAAAATACTGCAAACAATCTACTTTTAAGAGAAAAACACACATAAAACAATCTGATTCAGAGCAAATGAGCTTCTTACGACACATTGCGTTATTTAAAGCATTCCCTTCCCACACACTGGTAAACATGTGTTCCAATTAAATTCATAATTCAGTACAATGGAAAAATCTCACACTGAAAATCCCTCATTAAGAAACAAATATAAAATTTAAAACTCTCTGGGGCAATTCTTCATACCATTGTAAATCCTAATTAAGGAAAATCTTCAGCTTCCTCCATTTCTGGGATTTAAATGATGCATGGGCTCAT